CGATATCTACTATATCTTAGTTACACAAGGATATACATAAGAATATACTTTATCCTGTAGTTAGTATATTGTGATATCCTAACTAACAATGCCTGATGTTAGATTCTATATCGAGTTTGTTATGAAATTTGAATTTTTGCTGGAAAAGGTAGTGTCTTTTCACTTTTGTATCACTCATCCGAAATCTTAGATAGTTTCATGTTTCTGAGTTTTGAGTTCTGAGAGCATGTTTAGTTCGCAAATGGAAATGCAGGCTGATAATAGAGTTGGCCTCTAATGGAAAAAGGGAATTCGCCTGACGAAATTGAAAAAGCGGCTTCTCATGAAAGTTTTGGAGTTCTTTCTGTAAGCTGCATTATCTATCATTCTTCAGGAAAAATGTCTTTGTTTATCTTTACTTTTGTGTTGAGTTTCGTTTTTGGTTCCTTATTTACTTTTTTTTTTAAACTGTAGGTTAAAGGTCTACAACGAGTTGGTGTGACTTGCCAATTGTTCAAGACCTACTTCAAGGTGAAATTCATGATTCTGAAATGGTTAACATTTCCTCGTATATATTAATTGCAATATGATCAACCATTTATTATAGTAATACACACGTGTCCCTAAATTTCTGTATATTCAGCTTGCAACTGTCAATCTTTGTCGAAGTGAAATAAGAAGTAAGGTCTTGTGGTGAATTAAGAAGGATCATATTCTTCTAAGCCTTGTGGTGAAATGAGGTTTCTGTCTTTGATTCATAGTCTACTTCTTTCAATTTCATCCTTGTTGATCGTTTATATAAAACTTTTTTTAGTCGTAAAATAAAGAACCTGTCTCCATTTTCAGTGTTTATCTTAAGATTTTTTTCAATCCCTGGTCGTCAGTTCCATCCAAGCAAATCTTAAATCAAATTCATTAGTTCCTTGTCTTTTCTAATTCGAAGGTGATGTAAATAAGAACATGTTTTTGTTTGTCTTTGTCTTGGGACTTATTTAACTGTTGCTTGCTTTTTCCATCCAACCAATTAAAAACGTAGACCAAACACAACCACTAAACTCAAATTATAGAGTTCAAATCATAGACTATTCATAGAGTCAGTTCAAAATCAAAAGAGTTTGTATATTAGTATGAGAGCATAATCAGAGCATACCAGACCATACTATAACCAATAGTGTATTTCGTTTTCTTCTGGAACAATCACATGACAGAACTCACTGGAAAATAGAAGAGCAGACTAGTGCCCATGGGTTCAAACTTCAAAGCAAAGATCATGCAACAAACTATACAATCAAAATGTGATTATTTAGACGTTTGGAACAATCATTACCTAGGTGGGACCAAAAAGCACTATAAGGTTTCAGCAACTACCAATTATCCCGAATTCTTTACAAAATTCTTGTTTGAAACATTCATTAATTAGGTGGAACCACAAGCACTACAAAAGGCTTCAACAACTACCAATAATCAGATTAATTCTTTAAAAAAATATATTTGAAAACGTTCTTATCATTTCAGGAACTGAATTTTTATCCGTTACATTTAATTCGATTTGTTAGTTGTTTTTATTTGATCCGAAAAATTGGATATCCGTAAGTTTTCAAAGCATAACAAATATTAAAAGTCAATATCCGTTAAATATGAAGTAAATCACCAATACTAAAAAAATTAGATGTGGATATCTGATCCACTCCAGATTTTGTTCAAATAGATGTATATCTACAGTTACATATAGATTTTAAATGTATAACTCTATATAAATATTATCTTAACATATACTTCTATTAAATTTATTTAAATAATTATTTATAAATGTATTAAATTAAAAAATAAATATAAAATAATTATAAAACTTCTGACCTGTGGTGAACAAGTATCGTATCAATCTCCAGCAACAATACTACAATTTTCTAGAACTTTGTGTTTTATAAAAAGTAGTTAATTTTTAAATTATGGAACATATAGTTTCACTATTTTTAGTATATTATGTAAAAGATATTTTTTTGAAAATACATTTGTATAGTATTTTGTTAGATTTAATTGTATTGAACAAAGTGGATGAGATATTCGTAAATATTTACAAATATCTATAATTTTTTTGGATATCCAGAAAACCGGATATCCGTATTTTTCGAATCAAATAAAATCAGAAAATCAGATATCTGTTTTAAATTCAAGAACTATGACACAACTGTAAAGCACAAAGTTCACCAGAAAATATATCTACAAAGATATGTGTATTTGCTAGTATTCTTTTAAATCGAACTTACAAGTCTCTCTTTAAACATAATCCCAAGCCTCACACGTCCTAAGATCAAATACAAGATCTTAGAACCTCTCCTCGTAGTCCTTAGTGCTTTCACTCGCTTACAAGCTTATGAAACCCACTCTTATGCTAAGTATACAACTCTAATGACAACCCTAATACTTAGGTCGTACAAGACTATAATATACATTATAGTCAAGTCGGCTACCCTAGCCTATCTACCCAATATTTACTAAATAACCAAAAATGGTAAGTTCCCAAAATCCATATTAAGCCTTTTGCAAACTTTCCATTTTATGAGATTTCCCTTCTCCAAGGTGAATCTCTTTCTAGTTGTTCTTCAAGTCTTCGTTTACACTAACTCCAACTTGATCACCAAACCATTCTTCAAGTCCTTATCTTGTTCATCCGCATGCACACACTTTGTCGTAGATTCTGCTCCATTCGTTATTGCACTTGCGTCTGTATCAGAATGTTCACCTAATCTTTGCATCTTCATCCGTCAACTACGACACGAATCGCAAATACTGAAAACATAGTATTATTCGATATGTGCCCATCCTTAATCTATATACATACAAATCATAGACATAGATGAACCATTAATCAGGTATACTTTAGGATAAACATATATTTTCAAAAAGAATTGATTTATTTATATACCACACTAACACTTGAAGAATTAAAAAGAACAGTGGAGATGGATATCATCCGACCATAACAAGAAAATCAAGATCACATTTGGACTCAAGGAAGAATGGCCAATAGTGATTGAGCAACAAAATGAAATCCATTAACTATGTCCTACGAGTGAACATGATGGATTCTAATTATATTATCTAAAACAAAATCAGAAATATACATTAAACAATTTTAAATTAAACAAGGGACATTAGCCAAAACTAACCAAAAATATCATTTGAAATACAAAAATAGATCTATTATTCAATCATATACAAAACTAACCTAAAGAAGTAGGGAAATTTATATTTACCCTTTATGACTAAATAAGAATTACGTTTCCATCTTTCAAAAATCTACATTTAATAAAGATAAGTTTACAAGGTGTAGACTTACCATGAAGTCATTTTTGTAGGCTCATAATAAAGTCTACATCATAATTTAATCTTATAAAGTTATTTTAAAAATGTATAAAAATAATTTGTGTGAATTTTCTTATAAATCATCAATATAAGAACCAATATGAAGTATAAAAATTATAATGTGATATATTTGAACAANAATAATTTGTGTGAATTTTCTTATAAATCATCAATATAAGAACCAATATGAAGTATAAAAATTATAATGTGATATATTTGAACAATTTAAAAGAGATATATTGATGGTTTATGGTTTAACATTATTAAAAGGTAACTATGTGTTGGACAATGTTTATGGTTTAACATTATTAAGTAAGCTTATAGGGTTTGAGTTTTATAGTTTAGGGTTTCGTAGACTTACAATAAAGTCTCTTTCACTCTAACAGTCTTTTTTAGTCTACTTTAATTTAAAAAAATCATTATTTTAAATTAAATTGAGTTCTTTATGAATTAAAATGTGTAATCATATAATATAAATATTTAACAATAAATAAAGAAATTAAACAAATCATATATTAAAATTATTATTACAAGAAAGAATAAATAACAATAATGAACTAATCATAGTAGATTTCCAAAAATTCTACTAAGTAGACTTACAATAAAGTCTACTCCAAAATTTAATTTTAGTGGACTTCAAAAGAAGTCTGCATTGTCGATAATTTTAATATAGTTATAATTTTTGTTTCTTTATATAAATGAAATTTACACAATCTCTCTCTAAAATGGCTGCACAAATTTCTAAAAACACTCTCACTTCTCTCTAAGACTCTCTCCATTCTCTCTAAAACTCTCTCATTTCTCTCTAAAACTCTCTCATTTCTCTCTAAATTCTTTGAATGTGAAGATGCACTTTTGTTTAGTTTGTTAATTTTTTATCATGTTTTTCTCACAATTATCTTGTGTTTGTAGGTTCATTCATAGTTATCACCTTCCATTCTAAAAAAATGTAATTCTTGGATCTATATATTTTAAATGTGTATTTTTATGTTTATATTCAAATGAAGTTATAAATACAAACTTTGTGCATTTACTTTGCTAGTATTTTATCTTATAAATTCTTTTTTTGAAATATTTTCATATATAAAACTATTTTTCACATTTTCACATGTCCATAGTTTTCAGATCTGAAAATTATCTGATATAGTAGACTTCTAATGAAGTTTACAAAAAAAATATAGTCTACAAAAATAGGAGTGACCTTTAAATTTTTTTGTATAATGTTTCTTCTCATAATTTTATCTTTATTTTGTTGATATTTTCTTCTATAGTTTTTATCTACCCCTCTCAAAATTAAAGATTCACATTTTCATATATAAAAAAAAATTGAAAACCTCAAATCATCATTAGTGAGAAAATTAAGGTCTTAAAAATTATAAAACATTAACAATTTTAGTATGTAATTATTTTTGGTACCACAAAATATTTAGACCAATAGGTTTTGAATAGGTGTAGTCCACTCTATTCTTTCTCTTACTTTTCAATTATTTTTCATTTAATTATTACGGGAGGCTCCTTAAAAGTTTATCACGGCGGATGCTCTTATAGATTCGAAATTATTAGGAATAAAAAAATGAATTCATGTGATAAAAAAAAAAAGTTGTACCTATAAAATTTGTGGTGAAACCTGGATTCACATATCATTAGTGGGAGACATGGAATCCACAAGAGTTTTTGGAGCAAAACTTGGATTTAAACTCTCTATTCGTTCTCAGGCGAATGTACTGTCGTCATGCAAACCCTTTCGTTTCCCGCCAACGTCATTTCCCGGCAAGCCTCCCAAGCTTGTTCCTTTGAAGGCCACTACTAACACTCTGGCTTGTGAAGATGAAAATAATCGCCAGTTCAAGAAGATGGAGCCTTCAGAGTGGGGTCATCAATTCATCGATGCTCATGTTGATGTCGCTGTAAGTCAATAAACAAAAGGGTGCCTATTTTAGTGAGCGAACAAAGAAACTCTTTACCATTATGGATTTTGATCCATTTCTCTTTCTTTTTCTTCTTGTTTCTCATTCTAGTTTATGTGCTTCATCTTATTCTTCTACACTTTGGTTATCATTAGTTGGTTACCATAGCAAACAATATTGCCACTGATAACTAAGTTAATCTACATTTAAGTAATTATTGTATTTTCCTATTTTATTAAATCATTTCCTCAATCTAATTTAGCTAAATCTTTTTAATCAATAAATTTTCTAAAATAATTTAGCTAAATTTTAGAAAAAATTAAATTTAAAAACCTTTTTAATTATATAATATAATATTTCTCAAATATCATTAAAAATTAACACATTTAGTCTATAAGGTCTAAAATATATAAATTTTAAACTTTTAAAAATATATGTTTAACCATTATCATTAATTATTTTAAATTGAGTTGCATGTGGGCGGTTTTGAGCGTCCTCACTGAGTAATTTTGTATACTCGTGCCTCCTTTTTGCCGATGCAGGTAAGGTTGATTATGTGAATCGGAGCGCGAGGCTATAAAGATTATCGGTAAAGAGTGTTTTAAATTGGAGTAATGTTTTAGGAGTATTGATCAAACCAGCTTATTGTAACATTATGGATTTTAAGTAATTGGTTTCGGATTTCGTTGACAAAGTTACAGTAATTCTTCGTATTCATCCGATAAAATTGGTCAGATTTTACTTAGAATTTTCAATGTGTTTTTTAAAATATTTCCGGGTCGGGGTGTTTCAATTTGGTATTAGAGCGGGGTTGGCCAGCCAGTTATGTCCTGGCTGGCTGTTTTTCGAAATGGGATTTGTGGGTAAGGGTGGAAAAGAACTGATGGTCTATATCTCGCGCGATGGATGTGTTGTGTGATTTTGCTAAGGTATTTCTTGGTATGTGTTTATGATTGGACTGTTCTGTAAATGGCTAAGCAAAATTGTGTTAAAGAGTTTGCAGAAAGTTTGTAAAATCTAACTCAAGTCTTATGAAGTATATAAATTTTTCGAATGGTAGGCAAGGAAGGTATCAGGTTGGTTCAGCCAACAAAGGTAATATGTTTAAAGTCGTGTGTGATGGAGTAAGATATGTCAACGTTAGGAGATGAGTAGATAGGATGATAGAATGTACAAAGCAATAGTCGGCATGGATTGATGGTTAATGACCGGGCTAGCTAGAACTGTTAAAGATGTTGAGATAAATCTTACCGAGAATGAAAGAAGATAATGTCTCCTAGAATTATGAAGCGTTGGATGATCGTATGGCGGTGTAGCACACTTATGGGAAGCTGAATGGATCAACGAAAGTGCAACAAAGACGCGTGTGTGGCAGAGGTCTTGGTGGAACGTGCTACCATTGATACACAAGCTGGACACAAGGACATAGTCGATCTACCTGTTAGGGGCGTGGTTGTGAAAGCCAAACTTTGTTCGACTATAGAAGTTGCATTCCTTGTAGGGCATGAAGTTGTCAGTAACATAAGAATGGGTTAGAGGAAGAGATCAGATTTGGTCGGACATCATACATGGAGATTTGCAAGCCGCATGTTATTTATCAAGATGTTTCAATGATGGTGGAGTGTATATAACTTTAATAGTTTGATCGTGCTACTAGATAAATGGTTCAAAGAAGCACTTGGAATGGACAAGTTGGATCAGTGTCGAGTTAACTAAATTGAACTATCAGGGTAGCGCAACAAAAAGAAGGAAATATGGTAATTTAGAAAAATGGAGAAACAATTTGATGTTTCAAAAGTATCAATAATAAGAACGAAGCAGATGATCGAGAACAAGTACAAATTATTCTTAACACCGTCACAGAAACATAATTTTAGCAGAGAGAGGTATTGACTAGATTTCAATATGTGTAGAATGGTGATAGAAGCAGGATTTTCAAGGAAGTTAAGTAAGGCGAGTTATCTTCTTCTTTTTTTGTCAACCTCCCATATAAATTAGATCAAGTGGTGGTCAGACGAGTCAATTCTCCGAGGAGCACCTCCGTCTGACTGGGTCTGATATATATGGGAAAAGAAATAGCCTCTGATCCTTTCTTCTTTTGCTAGTGCGTCCGCTCGACCACTCATATTCCGAGGAATATGAGACAAAACTCACATCCTCGAAATCCTCTTGTAATCTTTGGAACACTTCGATCTCTGTCGTGAAAGTTGGCCGATCCTCAGGGTTTGTATTCATGTCAACTAAGTCCAAGCAGTCCGTCTCAAACCGTATCAAAGTTATCCTCATGTCTCACATACATGATGCTGCCCAAAGTAAACCTTCCATCTCAGCATGCAAATCTGAAAGGCTCCTTTTACACGCACGTAATCTGAAGACTTCAGAATCCATTTGATCCTTAATACTCCATCCTAAGCCACTAACGCTGCCATTATCGATCCATGACGCATCAATTTGGCATGTAGGGATTCGAGGTATTTAAGGGGGCGCTATCTCAACCTCTGTAGGGTTGCCATGATCCTTGTTTATCTCCTCCTTTTCATTTTCTTTCCTCCAACATTCTGCCTCAAGAGACGCGTGTTGGAGAGTGTCAATCGGGAAAACAACTTTCCCATTAAAAAGTTTTTCGTCCCTCGCCTTCCAAATGTACCAACAGATCCATGGGAAGGTATCGAATGGTGGTCTCAAAGGACCCACCTCTTTTCTCTCCCAAAACAGAAAGTTCATGTTTTGGTATATAGATGTACTCGGGAAGTCACCCGGAAGGGACGGATAGTCCGATAAAATCCAAACCTGCAGGGCTGGTGGGCATTCAAAAAGAAGATGATTAATCGACTCCACTGGGCCAGCACATTTAGGAAAACTCCTATCGGTGCCCAGGTGTCTATAAGTAAGTCGAGTTATCAGAAGAACGTAAATTGGGTTCGCGAGTGCAGTGTCTGAGGAAAGCGTTGGGCGGGATCAAGAAAATGTTATGATCATTACAATTAGCCAAGGATGAAGAATTCAACACGATCACAAACCTGGTTGGATGAGTGGGTAAGAATCGCCGTTAGTAAAATTATATTTAATTTGATTCAACCATTCAATAGTTTAACGCCAAATTATGTGAGGTATGGTGGATGACATGCATCAAGGAAAGGTTTGTGGTTCATGAAGAGTGCATTTAGATATGTTGGTGTTAGTGAAGTTCAGTTAGGATTAGTTTTGCATGGATACATCTAAGACTAGAATTAATTTTTCTATGAATGTGATGTCGCATGTTTGTCCTGACGATTGTGGAAACAAAAGGATTGCATTCAGCGCTGAAAAGATTGTGAATCAAGGGCGATTCAGATAATTGGAGTGCATAGAGTGAAGAATCAGGTGATCGATAAAAGATAGTATCTGCACGGAAAATATGTGTCAGCCCTGCATTTTGAGATCCACGATGCAACCTAGAAGAAGCATTTGTCGTCAGCATATTCGATTTCATTATTATAGGTGACTCAAGTATTAAAATGTTCCAGTTAGACCATTAATGTTGGACCAAAGTAGGGGAGGAATGAAATCTTAAGATATAAGTTATCGAGGAGAAGTGGAATGGAAGAAACTTAAATATCAGATCCATTAAGCGGTTAAAGTGCGTGGAAGCAAGATACATTCAGCAACTCCAGAGTTGTTCAGTTTTTGTTTATTTGGCAGTTGGTCGAGACAAAATCCGAGGACGAATTTATTTTAAGTGTGAGAGAGTTGTAACGACCCGCTCCCGGAGTATTTTTAAATTTTAAGGAAATAAATAGTGAAAGGTTTAATTCAACAAGGAGTCTATTTTTTTAAGTGTGGAAAAACATATATCCATGAAGGTTGGAAGAATAAGTTGTACATTGACTAGTTTTGGATCATTAGTGAGCTTATGGAACGAAATTGAAATGGTCTGAGTGATTGTAAAACGATCAAATGATTGGAGCATACGTAAGAAAATGTCGAGACCGCATGGCTAAGTAATGAATGTTTGGCTGCTGGAAAATGTAGGTTCCAACTAAGGAAAGTTTGACTAGTCATCATTGGGGAATTTTATGGAAGAAAGATCAGGATAACGAGATTCATATAAGGAAAGAAGCGCTGTAATAGCTTGCTTCTCGGTGGCTCGCACCCCCGGGTGGTGCGCTGAGCCAGAGTGGGCTCAACAGTCGGCCTATGTTTCCGGGTGCACGCGTAAAGGCATGATTAGTTCCACAAATCTCACTGCACTGACCTTAATCGAACGAGCTAGAGGGTAAAATCAATCCAATCGATGCATTCCTACTTTTCACTTGGATGACAGTCTCTACCCTGCTCTTCTAGCACATTCCGGAGGGCGATCCACTAGATTCAAAACAGGAACGGATAGAGCTTCCCTAACTAGAACCAATGTTCGGAAACGCGCTAGGCGCTAGTCGGGCGGTTGGCATGGGCCTAGCGATTTAAGGATTAATCGGGGATTAATCGAAAATCAGTTCTAAGTGTTTTTTAAAATTTTGGATGAAGTTACTATATTATTTAACTTACCGGAAACAAAACAACGGTGATGTTATGGTCTGGTGGTATAATAAAGTTGATATTGACTTATTACATCAGAGTTCAAGTCTACCAGACTGATTTTTAATACTTTTTGTGCTTTTAGTTTAATGAGGGGCAGTATCGTAAATAATCTGTCATCTTCCCCACTACATGTTTAGGTTTTCTGCAACTTTTTTATTTTTGCCGTCAGCCAATGTTTATTAAAAAAACACCAGATTTACGAATTATCTTGTTGTTTTGCATCAAATTAACAAGTTGTAACTTGTACTTGTAATACTCAGGTAAAAATGTTCAAAACTTCAAAAAAATGACTTTTTTAACAGAAACCGATTTTTTGACCGACTATGGTGTATTCGCCGCGGCAAGCCTCCGCCGAGCGTTCCGGCACCGCCTAATCGGTTTCTACGGCCGCGTTTTCGAACAGAGACTAGAACCTACCATCAGGCTAGGTACGAGAGAGACTGATCCATCAGCAGAACTCCTCGAGACTTATCCAAGAAATCAGGGAGAACTCCTACTTATGGAATGATCTAGATTTGAATGAAGAGATAGATTCGTCAGACAGAGAAAGAGGAGCGCTAGTGGACACGGGGAGGGATCAGGCGAAACGTGTCGTTCGTAATGGAAAGAAAGAGACCACTACTTCGCCTCTGGACCGCCGGCGCGAACACAGTGGTCTCTGATCACACTCGAAATTATGTATATACTTATCATATTTTTACCCTGCTCGGTAGTTCCGTAGCAGGTTTTTTTGGACGTTTTCTAGGATCAGAAGGAAGCGCTATTCTGACAACTACGTGCGTTTCATTCTTCGCACTAGTGGTATGCCTATTTTTATTTAGAATTTATTACTTTCGTTTGAAAGGACCACTGAGGGGGATTAAAAAACTGATTCAACGAGATATAGATATGTCCCCATTAAGATTTCAAACTTGTCGTCTACTTTCAGGAAATGTTCGGAACAGAGAACTGACAATAATACAACGTCGCATTCTCCGAAGATTGAGGAACAGGAAGAGATCTATTAAGAAGAGAAAGATTTATCCGAAAAAACATCTTACCAGTTACATACAATTACAAACTACACGAAAGTTGCCCCTTTTTCATGGGGATTTACCCATCACAGAGATGCACAGAGGAACAAAACGAACTTCATATATCCCTTTTCCACTCAATCAAGAAACAAGATTTGACGTTATTCCGCTTCGTCTCCATTTTCTTGAAACTATTCCTCAAGCAAGGCAGCCGATAAGTCATCGAAAGGTTTCTGTGAATAAAGGAATGGTAAGCATTACTCATTTGAAACTTTCCCATGGTGATATAATATTTTTTCAAGAAAATAACGCGGTGAAGAAATAAGGAGATCTTTCTTGTTGGGGTCAAAATCGGTACGACGGAATTAATAGCCAAAACTTTCCGCAAGAATACAAAAAGAACAGTTTTATCAAGCTCAAAAATTGTTTTATAAAACTCGAGAAATCGTTTTATAAAAGCTCGAGAAACCGTTTTATAAAAGCTCGAGAATCGTTTTATAAAACTCAAGAATCGTTTTATAAAACTCGAGAATCATTTTATAAAACTCGAAAAATCGTTTTATAAAGCTCGAGAAATCGTTTTATAAAGCTCGAGAATCGTTTTATAAAACTCGAGAATCGTTTTATAAAACTCGAGCATCGTTTTATAAAACTCGAGAATCGTTCTATAAAATTCGAGGATCATTTTATAAAACTCGAGAAACGTTTTATAAAACTCGAGAATCGTTTTATAAAACTCGAGAAATCGCTCTATAAAACTCGAGAAATCGTTTTATAAAGCTCAAGAATCGATTTATAAGACTCGAGAAATCGCTTTATAAAACTCGAGAAACCGTATTATAAAACTCGAGAATCGTTTTATAAAACTCGAGAAACCGTTTTATAAAACTCGAGAAACCGTTTTATAAAACTCGAGAATCGTTTTATAAAACCCGAGAATCGCTTTATAAAACTCGAGAAACCGTTTTATAAAACTCGAGAATCGTTTTATAAAACTCAAGAATCGTTTTATAAAACTCGAGAAATCATTTTTATAAAACTCAAAAGTTGTTTTATGAAATCCAAAGATCGTTTTATCAAACTCGAGAATCGTTTTACAAAACCGAAAAAGCCGTAAAACGCGAACTAGTCGCAACTAGTTCACCCATCGGCGAACTAAGCCGGACCCGGCTTATTTCGCCGATGGGTGAACTAAGAAACACTCTCTAGTTCGCGGGCCCGGCTTAGTTCGCCGATGGGCGTACTAAGAGTCAGTCTTTAGTTCGCCCATCGGCGAACTAAAAAGCATTCTCTAGTTCGCCCATTGGCGAACTAAGCCGGGCCCGGCTTAGTACGCCGATGGGCGAACTAGAGACGTCCCGGACACTCTGCGTCTCGATTTCCCGTATTCCCGATTTGAAACTTACGTCTTTCGACAAGGTCGCATTCTAAACCACGGCCGAAATATCTCTCGTTCCATCTCGATCCGACTTACCGTTCGAGTTTTACGAGAAAAACCGTAAAACTTCGTCTCTCGGAAAGAACTCGAGGAAATCGTATAAAACGGCAACGGTTAAACGAAACACCAAACATTGCCTAAACTATACGATTTATTCGAGATTTCTCGTTAAAATCATAAAAAACGCCGAGTAAGTCGTAAACAACGTGTTTTTAATAAAAAGTCGAGTAAATTGTAAAACTTTGCGATTAACTCGAGAAATTTATTAAAAACGACGTCAGATCAGGAAACGATCCCGTAAAAAGTCGGAAAACGGTTTTTATCGCAAAACGGCCCGGAAGGACCTAAAACGCGATAAAAACCCATCTCACGATTTTAACGGAATCTAACCCGCAGATTTGATAACGTTTTGACGGTTTACTCGCAGAAAGAAAATAAAAGTCAAGTTTAAACATAAAAGGAAGGTTTGAAGAGAAATAGAAGATTTCGGCAGAAGAAAGGGAAGGATCGAGAAGAATGGAAAAGTCCCAATTTAGTCAAATCTGGGCGAAATGGAAAGATCGGATAGCCAAGACGAGGAGTATATAAAGAGGAGGTCTAGGGCAGAAGCACACACATGAAATTCAGAGCTCTCTCCACCAGAACTAGCATTTAGGAATCTTTCCGTTTTTCTGTTAGCGAGCTGCGTCTCAATTAGGGTTTTCTAAGTTCTTACGTTTTCGGCTACTCTTTTTGTACGAGTTCAACGCAGATTCAGAATAAGAACCTCTTTGCTCTCTATTTTCGTTTATTCTCATTTAAATTCTAAGTTATCGTTTTCTTATTTTCGTTGTGCGGTTCTCGCAGATAGCCGGTTCCTCTGGAAACTTAGGGTTTTCCCGAAGTTTCCTTATTTACGATTTATTTGACAGTAGGGTGAAATAAACTCCCACAGTTTGGCGCTAGAAGGAGGGGG